AGAAAAAAATAAGAGATTGTTGTGGTGCAGTAGAGTAGACGCTGCATGGTGGGATTTTCCTCGCTGCAGCCATCAAGGCTTCAATTTACATTACTCTTTAACCGACTTTAACAATGTTAGAAACAACTTTTAGAGATGTTGCTTGCATTTTTCCCTTCAGAATTTGAGCTGAGAAAGAGTTTGTAACAAGGAAACACTGAGCTTCAATTTCAGGAATTCTGAGTATGCAAACATTTACAGTATATTTCCTAACTCTTGACAGCTATTGTTTGTTGCAAAAATGTAACTCTTCTTTGTTCTTCCTTGTGGGGTTTAACACGCAGCTCATTTCTTTTTATTTGCGTTTCGGCGTCCATGTCTTTCATCATGTTTGTGTATGTTTCTGTCGCCATCTCTGCGTATTTATGTGCTCAGTTTGGTGCCATTTGTTTCGTTTGACCGGCTGTTTGTGTATGTGCGTGTGGTCTTGTCCTCCTCATGTCGTCGCTGTACGACGGAGGTTTATTTGTACGTCTGGGACTCTCCTCAGGCAGTCGTGTTGCTCACCGTGGGGACGCTAGCCTATGTGCATCTGTAAGTGTCAGGTTGTGGTTACGATTCCCAGAGGAAAGCAGACTCACAGATGAATACCATATGATCAGGATTAATTAATATGTTGGTTTTACTAAGACTTTTTGTAAATAACGCCATTTAAAAAAATAAAATAAAATTAAGATTTTAATTCAGTCTCATTACACAACCATTACAAAAAAAAAAACTTTCCATGGATTTGAAATTCCTGTTCTCTGTAGCCAGATATCAGTCTTGTCCATCATGAGGTTGTGTTTAGTGTTTAATGGACTAGAATGCTGTCAAACACACTCTTTTGTTTTTATCCCATAAAAATACTATGGGGATTAGCTAATACGGAATATCAACAACAAAGTCTGCAATACTAATAGATTTTGACTTGTGAAGAAAAGCCTTGTTCTTCACTTCACCAGCTGCTTTCAAATGGATAAAATCCACAGTTCTCACACAGTTTTATAGATTTTTATGTGAAATTTTGTGGCATTAGACAACATTGCAACAAGACCAGTGGGCTGATGTGAGAGCATTAGAAAGTAAATGGGTACATCTGCCCCTAACAGAGATGAAACGCCTCCTAGGTTAAAGGTCATCCCACCCAGTGTCCAGTCGGAGTGCCTTGGAGACTCATTTCCTGGGAGAGGTCACACAAACAGGCAGCTGTGTGTTCGCCAGTAAACGATTGGTTCAATAAATGGACACGTTACCTTTGGTGCTCTTCTGTCAAACGGCACGGTGCTTTTAACCCCTACCCTTTACTTTGTACACCACTGATTTCAACTACAACTCTAATACATATTTCATGGAAGAAATTCTCAGATAATATTGCAAGTTAGGGTTAGGAGGGGGGGGGTAGACTGGTGAAGGGGTTTATGGAGTGGTGCATGAAGAATAGATCTCAGCTCAAAATTACCAAAACAAAGGAGCTGTTACTAAGCTTTCAGAGGGCAACGCCCTCATTACATCCCATTTCAATAGATGGTAAGGATGCAGAAGTGCTCAGCACATACAAGTACCTGTGTGAACATCTGGACAAAAAGTTGAACTGGTTAGCAAATACAGACAAGATACACAGGAGAGGGCAGAGCCACATGTGTTTTGAGAGCAGACTTGCCTTTTCTCATGTGAGCTCTAGGCTACTGTGCATGTTTCATCAGTCAATCATTTCAAGTGGACTTTTGCATCCAGTGGTGAGGAAAGGGGGACACTCAGAGGCTGGACCGTCTCATCAGGAGAGCTGGCTCTGTGGTTGGTATGAGCCTGGAGTCTTTTGAGACGGTGGTGGAAAAGAGGAGTTGAAGATAGTTCAGGAAATTACCGCCCACCTCTTGAACATTTTTTCTCCCAGTAGAGGAGTTCCTCTCAGATTCCTGCCAGTGGGCTGTTCAACTAAGAGGTTCAGGAATGTATTTATGCCACTGGCCATTAGACTCCACAATGCTCTCCTGGAGGAACGGTGGGAAGTGGGAAAATTCACTTCTTGATTTTTTTTTCCTATTATCTTTGATGAGTTTTTATATCCTTATTGGCCATTTTATTATTTTTTTAATGCTTTTATGGATAATTACACACGTGTGTGAGCAAAAGACTGCCTCATAATTTCCTCTAGATAAATAAAGTACCGCACACTGACAGCATCGACTACCTGAGAGGACTAGACTTACTGTTGGAGTGGCTAAAGCACACATACACACACGCACACACACACACACACACACAAGCAGGAGAGAGAGACAGCTAGCCCAGTTGAAGGGGTGTGAGATTCGACTCATTTTATGCACTCTGATGGACAGAGCTGCAAAAATGGAAAGAACTTGTTAAAACTCTGCATCATATGTACATCAACTGTAGTAAGAATTAAAACAAACAAAGGAAACAAAGGAATACATGACAATGATTACTTGTTATGTGTCTTTCATTCCCTGTATAACTAAACAAGGCTATACATTTTTAAAACGTGGAAGCTTTCACTCATGTTTCCATCAAACTGTGATGCAAATTTTGACAAAATGTTTAAAACTGGAAAGCTTCTGAACATGTAGCCAACCTTTAAATGAAAGCCCTCCCGGTCTTACAGGGATTCTGCTGATTTGTTGTTTTGTTGTCTTTTCTTTGACTATTCCTTGAAATCCACAAAGTAGAAACCACAATGAAAATGACAGATTGGAAGTGAAAAGGAAAACTGTACTAGAAAGGGAACACACACATGGATGACTAACTGAATACTTAAGGAAAAAATAATGTTTCACCGCACTCGGTTTCCTTTATATATGCTAACAAATCAATGCATTCGTTTGCTAATGGTTGGCATTCTGCCGCTGCACTCGTTTCCCTTGGACAGCTCTACCAATGTCAGACAGCCCTTGTCTGAATCCAGATTTTGACCCCCTCCTGCTGGGTTGTAGCAGGAGTGAAAACCATGAAAAACTGCCTTGAAACAACAAAATAATGCAGGATCGCTTTAATGGCTTCATTCATAGGTTCTTGTCCTTTATATGGCTTTGACTGTGAGCCTAGTGGATACGAGGAGGGACAGCCGGCGCAGTTAAAAAGATGTATAGAGAGGGTTGTGCTGTGGCCGAGTCGCCCTTAAACAAAACTCATGCCAGAGCTGCCTGTTGAGACCCCAGTGATTTGTACCCAGACCCCCAGCCTGTCTCAGTTTATTTTCTTTTTTCCTTTTGGAAACTGGAAGCAAAACACACTTCTTTCAAGAACGTTTCCCTAACAGAAGCACTTCAGTGCCACCCAGTAATTCTTCAGACTGTCCAAATGTCTCACTTGGAAATCCTTCGCCTTTCATTATATTTCTATTCCATTACTTGATCCAACACAAAATGCAACTTTGTACTTGACTCTGCTATACTAACCTAGAGTTTCCAAGAGTAAGACATCATCTCATATGCACCACTCAGCTGCTGCCATTAAGATGGGTAATTTTCAGTTGAAATATTTCCCAGTCAAAGAAAAAGACTAAAATTTTGCATTCAGGTTTCATTAATTCTTTGTCAACTTTGCATATATTTGTAGGCGTCTTTCGACCATCAACAAAAGAGGCTTACGATTCTGAAGCCTGTTGTTATGAGACACTGAAAATGAAATGATATTAAACCTTAAACCTTAAAGTTTAGGGTTTAACCTACATGTACACGCACGTACGTTTACGTATATGCACGTAATATTTGTTGTACTCTTTCTTACTCACCACCACATACAATAGCAGATAGTTTTGCATCCAAAGAGCACATAAAACATCACAACTTTCTTTAGTCACCAGCAACCAGCGCACTAGCACAATGCACATTGCAGCTGTGGTGCCAGGAGTGTAACAATAATTTTGTTGATGTTGCAACTTTGGGCTATATGGAGCAACCGATCTAGCCTCAAATTCTCTGATCAACATTTCATGCTGTGTCATGCTTATTCTCCCTTTCCCACTTCCAAGTGTCCCCAGTTTGCACCACCAAAATCGTTCTATAAATACTTTATGCATAGCAAAAAAAAGAAAGAAAGAAAAAAAAAACCTGTCACATCCTTTTTAGTACTACAGGAAACCCATTGTATGTATGCATTGTATCCAGGAAGACCTCGTCTGTTCCTGCAAAGGTCCTCCAGATTCTGTCCATTTTTGAATTTTGAGATGTGGTTTTGGTACAGTTTAGTTTTAATGAAATATTTCTACATGTCTATAAAATTACCTGTTGTTACAATGTACTCCCTCTATCATATAAAAATATGGTGCCATGAAAAAAAAACTACTTTTTCTGCCTCTAATGTGACACATCTCCCATTCAACTGAAGTGAGAAAAAAAATAAAGCTACAAGTATTTTATATAAATGCTTTTGTTGATGCATCTTTGAGTTAAGGATATTTGCCAAAGTTAATTAAGTCTATCAGATTCTGAGGTGATCTTTACTCTACACTTCTCTCCAGATTACAACACAGATTTTCCTTCAAAAATGTAAGAAAGAAACAAACCAAAAAAAGTCAATCTATAATTTTCACTCTTAGCTGTCCAATCTTGTCGTACCTTGTATGTATTGTATGTATTGTTCCTCAATAACAGGTATTGTTCCTCAAAGAACCTGCACTGTGAAAAGTGTGTAAATAATCAAAAAGGAAGCAAATATTTGACCTTTTAGTGCAGAAACATTTTAAAAGCTCCATAGTTTGTCCCAAAATACTATAATTACCATCTTATTGGAAATGTTGGTGTTTTTATCTTCTCTATTGAAATTAACATTTAAAGTTCATTTGGATAATGTGATGTAGTGCAGCTCAGCATACATTCACCTAAACATGAGTTTTTGTTTAGGTCACATGCTTCCTCAAAAGCCCTTTTATTAGTTGCTCCATGTGTGTGCAAAGTTGTTTGCTTATATCCATCCAGACAAAGAACAGATGCACATCGTTCCTTCACTCCTCCACTTACCTCTCCTCTGTGGCCCACATAGATAAAGGCACACATGGGCTGGAATGCACCGGTACCACAGGCCAATAGGTGAGTGCGATTGTACGGCTGCAGGAGGCGAACAAAGTTGGCACACTCCGTCTGCAAAACAAATCCACACAGACTAATTAAAGCTGGGGTTTTTTTTGTTTTTTTTACATCTCTGACATGAGCCTGTCATTAAAGCGTCGGAGTGCAGAAAGCCCTTAAGTGCTCGCAACATATAAAAAAGTAGGCTACATGTTTATGGTATGTCAACAGGAAACGTCTGCCCAAAAGCATGATGAAAGAGCGCTTTGTTGTGCACACAAACACATCTGGGCGAATAAAGGGAGAACCAAAGAATAAATCAAATCACAGTGACTGTTGTCAAAATGCAGATAAGCTGATTTCCATGGCCTAAATGATTTTTTTTAATGAGGCTTATTGATCGCATATGTTTGCAGTGAAGGCCAAGAAGAATGTCATCTGATAACATCTAAAAGTTTTCCAACTACTCATATTTTGGATTGAATTTTGGACGGCAGCCATGACTGGCAGAAAAAGCTATGAAAATATCAAAAGAACGTCAGAAACAGAATGGATGCCTGTATGCAAGCATAAATATGTCCATACTTTTCTCATAAAATATGACTTATAAAAACAATCAGTGCAGCTTGCAGAATATTTTAGTTCCCTGTAAAGGTTTTTAGAAAAGCAAAAATGCCACATTAAGCATAGAAAATGACAGAAGGCTAAATCATGAAAGATGCAGAAGTTAATATTTTACTGAAACAGCTAAAAACAAGGTGACAGAAAGGCTCAGATAAAAAAAAAAAAATCAGTGACACAGAAAAACAGAACCAAAAGGCTTTATGTCTAAGGATATAAGTATCATGATATTTCTACATGAATATGGAGGAGCTACAAAAGCAGCAGCTGACCAAAGATTGTTTTCTACCAAGACGAAATAGTCATTTCTTGAAGATTAATCAATCACAACTGCTCAAGTATGCGCTTCATGCATGCGGTCCAAAATATTCATAATCAAAATAAGTTTAAATAGTAAACACAATGAACTCGTCTTCTCTATACTAAAAATAATTTGAGTAAAAACAGATTTATTTCCATGTTTAAAAGTTCACTGTGAAACATAACTGGTTACCAGTTTAGTTTATTCCATTTTTAATGTAATTATGTACAAAAGTACTACTATTTCATTTAGCTTTTCTTTTTTTTTTTTTTTACTTTTCCTTTGGATAAAAAGTGATCCATTTTGACTGTGGCTTTCAACTAATTTTAAATATTTTGGTGATAAATTATGTGTTGCTACCAGCAAAGCTGACGGGAGAGACTGAGTAAAACAGCCTAGGTAAATGTAAAATTTATATATGCAACAAGAAAAGTATTATTGGCAAATATCAAGGACTATATCTAAGAATATTTGTGTTTTTCTGTTTTTTTTAATTGTTTATTTATGTTCTCCTAAAGCTGTTGTTAAGCTCTTATTTCCTTCAGTGCTTTAGCAACACTGTCTGCATGACGTAATTCGTGTTGCTTTGATTTGAGAAACAACTTTCATCAATCAAGTGACACATGTACTTCAGACATCACAGGACAAAATCCGCATAATTTGCTCGTATCTGAAAACAAATCACATAGAAGCCTCTCATTTCAGTGACTTCTCTGAAAGGTGAACCAGTAACGTCAAACACAGTTTGGCCAATCATAGACAACCTCAAAAAATGCAAAGGAGACTTTTGAGATTCTTCATTTGACTTGTTGATTTGGAAATCTTCAGGAACATTTCTCTAGCACATGTGGAAATTGCTGCTTAGAGTTAGTAATGCAACCACATATTTAAAAATGCACAATAAGCAGTTTATCTTAGGTTGAGTGTTTGTTTGTCAAAAAAGCTTTGGCACTGGTAGTGTGCCAACCAACATAGAAAACATTGGATTCCTCTTTGTCTGCGTTTTGCAACAGGATGCACAAAATCCTGCTGAGCTGAGTGGACTCAACATGCGTAAATCTGCCTCACGTTCAGCAAGAAAGTTGTCTTAGAAATCTTAGGTGCCTTGGAGACCAAAAAGGGGAATGAAATGTTGAAAAGCTGAAATATGTCTCCAGCCTTCCACTCAGGGATTTGGGGTATTACAATTCTGTGTGGTCTTTCAGAGAAGAAGTGGCAGCAGAGGAAGGTTGGTTCAGCAAAAAATGAAGCGGTTTGATTTCTAACACACTCAGCTCTCAGCTCTTCTGGCCAGAATTGAAAATTACAGCATAAATATCTGGAGAAGACAAAGGCCAGCAATGTTCCTTGTATTTAACTCTGATTATTAGGAAAGATTTGGGTGACCACAAATATTCCTGCACAGAAATACATGCTACATTTTTTATATGTTGCCCACAAAAACCACATTGGCATGAATAATAGTTCTGACATGAACAATTTTATATCCAAAACATTGTTTTATTCCTTTTTTGCCATTTCAATCATTAATATAAGTAAATACGAGTAATATCATATTGTCAAGTAGGTTTCCCTGGGGCTTTGCAATTTACAGCATGAAACAAGAAGAAAATGTGTTTCCATCAATCACTCTAAAGTTCAGTTACATGTGAACACAGTAAAAGTTCATCCCCTGATGTCTAAAACCAGTAAAACAATTCCTGTACTTTTTTTTTTTTTTTTTTTTTTTAATTGAAATCTCATCTTGCTCTGGTAGGAATGTAGATCCATGAGTTCACAGTGCTGTGTGGAGATCTAGATAAAAAAAAAAAATACTGCAGTGAAGCAATAGTGAGCTTAATTGTTTTGGATAGCATAGAGTAGGCAAAGAGTCAGTGTGTAGTGAAGTTGCATGGCAACCTCATTGCTGACGAAACCCGACTGTCTGCCACATTCAGTCATTTTGTGGAAGTTTGACTAATCCAGTGATCTTACAAACAGTGTTACAGTACTGAAGAAAAAAATAAACTAGACCAAGATTCATTTTGCATACATGACAGCACATTGACAATCAGGCTGCATGTCTTTAAAGACTTTGTGGAAGCTATGAAGAAGGTTAGAGGTTGATCCACGCTGAACTCCAGCTCAATAGACACGATGTTAACTTTTTTTTTTTTTTACAAACCTCCAAAGAAAGAACAAGATGCTGTAGAAAATACACCAAAAGCAGCCACTGAAACTGCATAGCTGGTTAACTAGGCTGTAATTTAATGATATAACATTCAATACAACATCTGAAATGTGCATCTTTGGTCACATTTCGTCCCATCATTTACCAAAGTTTAGAACGTTTTCAGCATATTTATGTAAAACCGTTATAAATAAGCAATATTTTAATCATTTAGTTTAATTCAGTTTACTCGTTTAATACCAACAATTCCCACAAAAGTAATTTGAAGGCAAATGAGTTTAAGTTCAACACTTAGCTACATAGAGTCCAATCATATAGTTCGATTCAGATCCAAATTAAAAACTGTTGAGTTCAGTCCTAGTTGTAACACAATACAGATTAATTCAGTTGATCATTTAGTGCTTATTAATAAGAGGTTTAAGCCGATTGCACCGAGCAAATCTCTCATTCTGAGCAAACTTGTTTTTTTATTATCATTGGCAAAACAGTTTTGCAAGCAACAACGCTGTGCTCATTATCAAAATGTCAATACAACAGGAAGAATGCTGACATTTTTTAATCACCGCCATGAGGAAAAAGTGTTCCTTTATGAATAGTCAACAAGTCAGTGAGAGGCAATTTTGGACATACAGAGTGGACTAGAGTGAAAACAACATGGAATAAAAAGCGAGACTGATGCTGTAATGCTAACAAGAAACATAAAAACAAATACATAAATGTTATGCATGTGTGAATAAGACCTGGACGGCAACATAGCTGGATGAACTAGACCATCCAGTTGTTTGGTTTCTACAGCTGGAAATGCATCTGAAATGATGCATTTTTAGAGAGGACTGGAAAGTCTTTCAAAATGGAATGAGATCATTTTTCCCCAACACTCATAACTACTCCTATTATGTTACCAAACAAATAGTAATTTTAGTAAAGAAAAACTCAACTGAGCAGCCTAAAGAGTTTTATTTACAATGATTTCTACAATCTTGTTTTCTAACAACTCTAAAGAGAGAAACAATGTGAAAAGCTCCTGCAAAGACCACAGACCAGTTTTTCAGCATTAGTTTGTAAACAAACAGACTTTAGAATATGTGTACATATCTAAATGTACTATATAAAACTACCTGGAGGACATTTCTCAAAAGTCATTACCATGGTCCGCCTCTCCTTATGAAAGGCCTGACTATAATTTGACTCATACAACAGTAAGGACCTCACACAGCATGTATTTGGAACAAGGGTAACCACTGGGCTTTGCTAACGGATTCGCTCAATGACCAGGATAACTACTGTTGGCAACACAAATCGACTATTATGAATTTTTCTGCATTTTTGGATCTGAAGAAATATTGCACTGACTTGACCAGCTGTGTACAACTGATTCATTGAGGCACAAACAAACACACACACACACACACACACACACACACACACACACACATAAACAGTTTATTACCACAGCCGTCACCAGATCTTAACATTCAGATTTCTGGACTGTGGGAAGAAGATGGAGTGGCTGGAGAGAGAACACATACATGCATGTGGGAAACATGCAAAATCCATGCAGAACGCAAGGTTCTTGTTAAGAGGTATTTACCCATGAGAGATTTTTCTACCACACATCACCCACAGAGGGAACACAATGTAGCAGCTCCTCTGTAATGAAGCTTTACCATAGAAATGGTTGGATTACAGACAACAATAGTGTTTTAACTAAAAGATTTAATTATGTATAAACAATAGCAGACTTTCTCTATTTTTTTAATTAAATGTCATGGCTTATAAACATTGCAATATTAAATTTTGGGTAGGTACTACACTGCATTACATATCTAATTTTATCCGCTAGGGAAAGGAATATGTGCCCAACTCATTTGCAGTCAGCTTCCAAGAGCAACATGCAAATCAATGAAATGGAAAGAAATGGAACAGCAAGAACAAGGCAGAACAAGTTTAGCTGAAGTCACCAAATGCCTTCACTCTGCCTGGTATTTATTTGTTTCAGCAGTGATTAATGATTGTGGCAGCTGTGAGGTTT